GAAAGCAGTTTAAATCCTGAAGGATTCATGTATATATTTCTAAGAAAACTCTCTCATGTTGGTAGAACTCTTAAAATACACAATGATGTACATGGAAATGATTAGAAACTTGTGAAAACCCTTGAAATACAAGGAAATACAGCCATACATTCGTTAAGGCCTTGTTCAAACACCGAGATTAGAGGTATAAAGCTGTGAAATGACAAGATTACTGATAATGTTACAATTCTGGCTAACTGACTTGATGTTTTTCTGAAGAAAGTTCTTGCAAACATGAAGAGTTGCCATTTATAGAGCTCAGAATTTGAGTATGAATCCTTTAAGTAAAGAGAATACTGTTCATATTTACTATTTGGGCTGAATTGGCTGTTGTTTTTTGAAAGAAGCAGTTTAAATCCTGAAGATTCATTTATACATTTCTAAGAAAACTGTCTCATGTTGGTAAAACTCTTAAAATACACAATGATTGTACATGGAAATGATTAGAAACGTGTGGAAACCCTTGAAATACAAGTAAATATAGCCATACTTTCCTTAAGGCCTTGTTCAAACACCATTATTAGAGGTATAAAGCTGTGAAATGACTGGATAACTGATAATGTTACAATTTTGGCTAACTGACTTGATGTTTTTCTGAAGAAAGTTCTTTCAAACATGAAGAATTGCCAATTATAGAGCTCATAATTTGTGTATGAAGCCTTTAAATAAAGAGAATACTGTTCATATTCACTATTTGGGCTGAATTGGCTGGAGTTTTTTGGAAGAAGCAGTTTAAATCCTGAAGATTCATGTATATATTTCTAAGAAAACTATCTCAGGTTGGTAAAACTCTTAAAATACACAATGATGGTACATGGAAATGATTAGAAACGTGTGAAAACCATTGAAATACAAGGAAATACAGCCATACATTCGTTAAGGCCTTGTTCAAACACCGAGATTAGCGGTATAAAGCTGTGAAATGACAAGATTACTGATAATGTTACAATTCTGGCTAAGTGACTTGGCGATTTTCTGAAGAAAGTTCTTTCAAACATGAAGAATTGCCATTTATAGAGCTCGGAATTTGAGTATGAAGCCTATAAATAAAGAGAATACTGTTCATATTTCCTATTTGGGATGAATTGGCTGGAGTTTTTTGAAAGAACAGTTTAAATCCTGAAGATTCATGTATATATTCCTAAGAAAACTGTCTCATGTTGGTAAAACTCTTAAAATACACAATGATTGTACATGGAAATGATTAGAAACGTGTGGAAACCCTTGAAATACAAGTAAATATAGCCATACTTTCCTTAAGGCCTTGTTCAAACACCAATATTAGAGGTATAAAGCTGTGAAATGACTGGATAACTGATAATGTTACAATTTTGGCTAAGTGACTTGATGTTTTTCTGAAGAAAGTTCTTTCAAACATGAAGAATTGCCATTTATAGAGCTCATAATTTGTGTATGAAGCCTTTAAATAAAGAGAATACTGTTCATATTCACTATTTGGGCTGAATTGGCTGGAGTTTTTTGAAAGAAGCAGTTTAAATCCTGAAGATTCATGTATATATTTCTAAGAAAACTGTCTCATGTTGGTAAAACTCTTAAAATACACAATGATTGTACATGGAGATGATTAGAAACCTGTGAAAACCCTTGAAATACAAGTAAATACAGCCATACTTTCGTTAAGGCCTTGTTCAAACACCGAGATTAGCGGTATAAAGCTGTGAAATGACAAGATTACTGATAATGTTACAATTCTGGCTATGTGACTTGGCGTTTTTCTGAAGAAAGTTCTTTCAAACATGAAGAATTGCCATTTATAGAGCTCAGAATTTGTGTATGAAGCCTTTAAATAAGGAGAATACTCTTCATATTTATTATTTGGGCTGAATTGGCTGGATTTTTTTGAAAGAAGCAGTTTAAATCCTGAAGATTCATGTATATATTTCTAAGAAAACTGTCTCATGTTGGTAAAACTATTAAAATACACAATGATTGTATAAGGAGATGATTAGAAACGTGTGAAAACCCTTGAAATACAAGTAAATACAGCCATACTTTCGTTAAGGCCTAGTTCAAACATGGAGATTAGAGGGAAAAAGCTGTGAAATGACAGGATTACTGATAATGTTACAATTCTGGCTAACTGACTTGATGTTTTTCTGAAGAAAGTTCTTTCAAACATGAAGAATTGCCATTTATAGAGCTCAGAATTTGTGTATGAAGCCTTTAAATAAATAGAATACTTTTCATATTTACTATTTTGGCTGAATTGCCTGGAGTTTTTTGAAAGAACAGTTTAAATCCTGAAGATTCATGTATATATTTCTAAGAAAACTGTCTCATGTTGGTAAAACTCTTAAAATACACAATGACTGTACATGGAAATGATTAGAAACGTGTGGAAACCCTTGAAATACAAGTAAATATAGCCATACTTTCCTTAAGGCCTTGTTCAAACACCAATATTAGAGGTATAAAGCTGTGAAATGACTGGATAACTGATAATGTTACAATTCTGGCTAACTGACTTCATGTTTTTCTGAAGAAAGTTCTTTCAAACATGAAGAATTGCCATTTATAGAGCTCAGAATTTGTGTATGAAGCCTTTAAATAAAGAGAATACTGTTCATATTTACTATTTGGGCTGAATTGTCTGGAGATCTTTGAAAGAAGCAGATTAATTCCTGAAGATTCATGTATATATTTCTAAGAAAACTGTCTCATGTTGGTTAAACTCTTAAAATACACAATGATTGTACACGGAAATGATTAGAAACGTGTGAAAACCCTTGAAATACAAGAAAATAAAGCTATACTTTCCTTAAGGCCCTGTTCAAACACCAAGATTAGAGGTATAAAGCTGTGAAATGACAAGATTTCTGATAATGTTACAATTCTGGCTAACTGACTTGGTGTTTTTCTGAGGAAAGTTCTTTCAAACATGAAGAATTGCCATTTATAGAGCTCAGAATTTGTGTATGAAGCCTTTAAATAAAGAGAATACTTTTGATATGACCATGTGGTTTTTTTCTTTCAATTTGTTTATGTGATGTATCACATTTATTGATTTACGGATGTTGTACCATCCTTGCATCTCTGGGATAAATCCTACTTGGTCATGGTGTATGATCCTTCTGATGTACTGCTGGATCCGATTTGCTAAGATTTTGTTGAGGATTTTGGCATCTATGTTCATGAGGGATATTGGCCTGTAATTCTCTTTCATTGTGATGTCTTTACCTGGTTTTGGTATTAGGGTGATGCTGGCTTCATAGAATGAGCTTGGAAGTGTTCCTTCCTCTTGAATTTTTTGTAGTAGTCTGAGGAGGGTAGGTTTTAGTTCTTCCTTGAATGTTTGGTAGAACTCCCCTGTGAAGCCGTCTGGCCCTGGACTTTTGTTTGCTGGAAGCTTTCTGATAACTGCTTCAATTTCTTCCATAGTTATTGGCCTGTTGAGGTTTTTAGATTCTTCCTGATTGAGTTTTGGAATGTTGTATTTTTCTAGGAATTTGTCCATTTCCTCCAGGTTGTCTAGTTTGTTGGAGTAGAGTTGCCCGTAGTATTGTTTAACAATCATTTGTATTTCTGTGGGGTCTGTTGTTATTTCGCCTCTATCATTTCTGATTTGGTTTATTTGGGACCTCTCTCTTTGCTTCTTGGTGAGCCTGGCTAGGGGTTTGTCAATCTTGTTTATCCTTTCAAAGAACCAGCTCTTGGTTTCATTGATTTTCTGTATTGTTTTTTTGGTCTCTATGTCATTGATTTCTGCTCTAATCTTTATTATCTCCTTCCTTCTGCTCACTCTGGGGTTTTC